ATATCTTGTTTTCCATATTTCACGCGAAATGAGAAGCATAAGCACACTGAAACTTCTTTTCTTTCAAATCGATGATGGAAAAGGTAATTGGGTTTTCTGCGTCTGTGACTCGAATTTGACACTTTAGTTATATGCCAATTCTGAGATTAGGAGATTTCAGAACGCTGCACACGTTGTTTAACACATTCACGACAATACGACCCACCGGTGGGTCGTACGTGTCCTGCCAGTTCGGACAATACGACCCACCGGTGGGTCGTATGCTTTCTGAAGTTTTTGATTTTGCTAGCTCACGGTGAAACTTTTTAGCCAAACCAAGTAAACTTCTGTATACATCTCCTGAGGTACTTCCCAAAAGATTAGCACTTCAGGCCACAGAGCGCATCAGTGACCTGAAAATATTACGCAAACTCAATTTTGCGAAATATGCTTTGGTCCGAAATGGCAGTCATTGAAAAATCGGCGCTGTCGTGAATGTGTTAACAAACTCTTATACTTGTTTCTCATCTAATCTCTAATAGTAAACCAACCAAATGGGGTAAAGAACAAGTAATAATTTCACATCATACTTGTGCAAAGCGTGCTCGAGTCTCCTCAACCCGGAATAGACGATAATTTTTTGCTATGCATGAGCAAAAGAGCTCTTCACCGTCCCTGCTTGAATATTCTTCATTCAAACAGCGCCACCATCTGAAATGTCTAGTAATTGATACAAGTACGGAATCTAATGCCTAACAAAAGAATATAAAGTAAACACGGGATGAATCAACGTCATGAGACTAAGAACAAGGCTAGCTTTCGCGCTCGAGTGCAATCTCCTTCGCTCGCGTCGGGCGCACTCTGCCTCTTTTTGGGTACCCACGACCGATGGTGATTGGTATGCCCTATACAATGTTATTCTGTCACAAGCAATCGAAGAAATGCGAATTTCCATACAGCCAAAGCTGATCAAGGCTGGAAGAAGATGCATCATCAAGTTTTCCAAAAAATGCAGACGAAGAGAGCTTCATACTCAGCAGTTAGCTTTGCAACAAACACGAACAACATGAATATTCGAATGGAAATTTCTCATTCGAATGGAAATTCGAATAAAACATTTGAAATAAACTAATCGAAACCCCGTTTTCTAATTACTCGAGTTTTTGGTTTTGTTCGAATTCTTCGTTTTTTGATTTTTTGAATTTCGAGTTCTATTCAAGACTCCTTTTTTGGTTATCCGAGTTTCAAATTTTTTTGAAAATAGAAAAACCCGAATATCGAACGAATTGCCATTGCGAATATATACGAATGTTTTATGCGAATGGTCGAATTTTTATTCGGATCTAAGTATACTGTGTAACCACCAATGGACTAGACCTTTGCTGCAAAACTAATTGTCATGTGTGCAAACCGCCTTAAGCTATATGAGTAAAGCAAGAATTGGTTATACGGAATGCGTCAAAAGCCAGGGAGCCTAGCCTACTTTTTTCCGATAAAATTAGGAAGGAAGTAAGTTACCTAGAGACAGAAAATTAGATGCATATGGTGCCTAAATCAAACGTTACAACAATTCTCAAACAGAATAAACGCTTCTGGCTTCAAGGCAAGCATTTAAAGTATTGGCAAGTACAACTGCTCTAGGACGCAGATTTGTAATGAAATTTGTCCCACGCCTTCTTGCTAGTTGCTTCCTTCACTTTAAAATATGTACCATAACGCAAGCTCATTACGAACATACTATCGTCAAGATTCTGACTGAAGGCATGCTACGTCGCATGCTGAGATTTGGATACCAGTGCGAAGGAATGCCTAGAAGCAACGTCTATGAAGTATCGGAGAGCTGTACGACTAACCAAATTCGAATAGATGCTCACATAAAATATTTATACAGAAAAATATAGCGTTAGACTGACAACTGCGCTTCTACTCAGATAATCGCCGGGGCAGGCGGCCCGCAAACTCGCGCTTTTCTGCAAGCGCTCAGCAAAATTTTGGGGCGTGAAACCTTCAGCGAGCGATAATTACGTGTTCTGCCAGCGGGCAGCAATACAAAATTTTCTGCAAGCGCTCGTCAAATAATCTCTTTCAGCGAGCGCTGGCCAGACTTTCAGTAGGCGCTCGGACTCTTTTTACGCAGTTTCGGACGTACGCCGAGCAAGGGTAAGACTTTGTATGGCAGAGGCGTTATAGATGGTTTATTGACGGAGTACCTTTTCTCAGTGGAAGGCACCTACGGGCTGTGCGGTTCTTCACAAAGAACCGTGCAGCCCACACTAATTCTACATATTCCCGCGGAAAATCCGCGAGAATATGCAAAACTGCGCCGTAACTAATCTATGAAAAAGCCGCAACTGTCCTCCGAGCAATCGTTTAGAATTATCTAAAATTTTTGCCAACATTCTTTCAAATATCTGAAAGCGGACTGCAAGAAATCAGCGAACTACTTTTCCGGTGCCCGCTTGCCCATGAATTGCATGGCCGCGGCCGCCTGTCGCCGGCGATTACCTGAGTATACCTTCAAATTTGCTTCGAATTGATCAATCTTATTCTTCGAATCTTAGCAAAAAATTCTTGTTCGCTTGAAAGCAACAATGGAATATCAAGCTGAGTCATCCTATATATTGAGTAGTGAGAGGCATACCAGGTAGCGTAGCTTAAAGGTAGGGCCTGAAAAGGAATGTTGTTCGAAACTTTGTTGCCTGTGAAAAGTAAAGGTTATTTGAATTAGACAAAAAAAGTAGATGGCGAAGCAAAGCAAAAGAAAGTGCTGGAAACTAGGTAGCGCCGGAATAACTTTGAAATCTCTCTTTCTGCTATCTTGAATCGCAGGTTTTTCTGGGAGCCGCTATGCTAGAGCTCGGGGTATACGGGAGAATGCAAACGGAAGAAGAGCGACGTTGTCCGCGTAGTGGGGATATCAAAAATAAAAATCATAAAGTTTGCTGGGATTGCTTTCAGAACAACGAAGAGGAGAGTAGCAGAGTCAATTGCCCCGTGCCCCGCGTTTGAGTTAGCGAGGTAACGCACACGTGGAGATCAGACGAGCAGAGAGGAGATACAGCACGGGGCATTTGGTTCTGGTAGAAAATCTCCGCGAATGCTTAACGAAACATAATATCATACATTGCACTGGTCGTCATGAACGACCAGGAGCACTGACAACGTCGTGGTGTCAAAAGAAGTTCCTTAACGAACAGAATCATCATTTTTATAGCGGCCTTCCGTGCAAGATTGAAGCGCAATCTCTCGTGTAAACTCCACAAGCTTCAGTGAACTTCTAAAGCTCATTCGTAGTCTAAGAGTTGATTGAGAAAGCCTTTATTTCTAGAATAATCTGCAAGTCTATACAAAACCTATTAGCATAAAAAGGCTATGAAAACGCAAATTTTTGGGTTTGCTGTTTTTTTTAGATACTCGCTATACCTGCTTCATTCACAATCACTCCAATTTAGTCATTAGCTTACACCCGAGGCTTCTCCCCGTACTTATGTTTCTTAAGGTGAAGGTTGTGCTCTCTTATGTCGCTCGGAGTGAAAATTACCTATTTACATGGGTCTATGTATCGAAGGTATGACCGTGCTGGACATTCACATTACTTTCACTGCCTTTAGTCAGGAGCAAACTTCATATGACAACGGGTCGCATGCATAAATTTCCACCTAATCAACGCATTAATAGCTTCATATTTGCTCCACAAGTATGGGTCCTTCCACTGTCTGACTTTTGTAGTGATATCATAACGAGTACAAAGCCTTTTCCAGGCTGCGCCCATTTTTCGGGGTTAATTTAAGAGAAAAACGGAAGCTCAGTTTTTGCTTGAGGAGGCTGATGAAGAGGAGAGAAAAATGGAAGAATTTGTTCAAAGAAAATTCGACAGAAAAGTTTAGGGAACGCTGGATGCTGATATTTTTTTTCAACCTCTTGAATAATCTTTTGTCTTACCGGCTTGTAAACGCGTTCTTGGTGGGCACTCTAGTCATTGCTGTGTAGGTTGAGCCACACGGCGCGGCTTACACGGCATACGCGACGTATGCAGTGTACCCACCATTTTTTATGCACTCCGCGCAGTCTGGCCTAACCCTATAATTCAATTATTGAATAGCTGGCTCTGCACACAAGCCTTTCCCCAAACTTTAATCTGACCGGCTCGAAAGCTACAGTCCAGTAGGTTTTCCGCTTAATTTAGACTGCTTGCACTGTAGGTGAAATGCGGTAAAATTTGCCTGTAAAAAATTAGCCATGCCAATAATGCCGGCATTCTGCGCGCGCATATGGAAGGCGCCACACATAGCTATTCCCTTAAGCGCCAATTTTACCGCATTGCATCTACAGTGCAAGCACGCCATATTAAGCGGAAAATCTACTCAACTGTATGTCTCTGCAGAGGTACGTTTGGTCCAGTGGCGTTACCCAGGATTTCGGCTTGGGGGGGGGACAAAAATTTTTTTCCGATAAAGATGCGTGGCATTAGCCACGCACTTTGAGAAATTTTTTGGCATGATCCCTTGAATTTTCGCGGGCTCAGAACCCCGACTCCGAAAAAAATTTTTCTACAAGTGCAGACAAGTCGTTTGCACAATTTCATAACCAGTGTGAGTAACTTTCAAAAATTTCGCGACCCATTCTCGGGAGCGGGGAGCCCCCCCCCCCCGCCTCCCTTCTCGGTACGCCACTGGTTTGGTCCGTTTATCATCCTAGAGTTGCGTGAAAGTGCTGGATGAAAAGTTTTGCTATACAGTGTTCTAAAAACACTGTAGGAAATTTCAAGACAGTAGGAAATCTCAATCAAGTTTTATCTATATGTTAGAACAAGACGCATAATGCGGTGGACGCACATGCTCAACACGATCATTGCTCGTGCGTTCCTCCATCTGGACTAGTAAGCTCTTTCAAATAAGAAAGCCCTCTCAACGGCTTGATGCTATGAATCCCTTTGTAGTCATTTTGCTCAACCTGGCGACAAACCAAATCCGGGTTTCTACAAGAATTAAGGGGATCTACGGCGGATCAAGTGAACTTACCATACCACGAAAAATACACTGAGTAACGTGCCAAAAATTGCTATGAAGAGCCATGGCCGTTTGCCCTGAAATCAAAAATAAAGACAAAAACATAAAACCAAAGCAAGGGCATAGGATTTTCTGCCAGTGAATCCAAAGTAACGCAGTGACATTATCTGTGCATGCGATAAAAAACGTGCGATTGCTAGCGACGTCTAAGGTTGTCGCAGATGTAGGAAGGGTCGACAAATGGTAACTCATGTCTAATAGAAATTTATAAGCGAGTCAGAGTTTTGCGATTCCAATCTCCAACTTTTGCTGTGTGCTCGTAGACATATTTGAAAATGATTAACATAATCTATTATATTCTAGCTCGTTCGGTATCAAGCTTATTTCATGAAATAAGCTTGATACCGAACGATAAGAATGAGTAGTAACTTCAGAACAATTACAGCTTTCTTGAAAGCGTGGCAGCAGTCGTAGCTATTGGGCATTTTCATTTTTGAAACCGCAATGGCGGAAATTTACTTGTATCAAAATCTTCGATTTAGAAATACGCGAGCCTTACCTCTACAAGTTATTACAGCAAGGGGTTCTGAAGCTTTTTATTACTTACTAACTGGTATGTAGTAGTTTGATTACAGTGTTCTCAAAGTCCTTTTCAAAGAGAGTATCGCGCAAAATATTTCAAATTTCCCGTACTCCCTGCTCTTATAACAAACTCTTAACGACTTCCCCTTTTCCCTTCCCATCTAAAAAGGAAAGATCTCATTCTCATGGAGAAAGTTTCCGTTTCATTATGTTTTTCGACCACTACTTTGAAAAGTGCCCCCCCCCCTCCCAACCCCACATCTTGGAACGCCCGTAAAAGGGCTCGGGACTGGGAGGAGTTGCAGATGCGCTCAGATGCACGATACGCGTGCATCTGACAAGGATTGTCACTAGGGTTGAGCGTGAGGTCAGGCGCGCCCGATCTGGGGGTCGTCTTGGGGGTATGGCTGAGGGGGGGGTCGTAATCAAGAACCGAATCCGTTCAGTTGGGGAGATACTATGAAGGTGAAGAAGAAAGCGCTAGTCCGGTGGATATCGCCATCACCAGTACTGAAGGAATGAGGGTCGTGAATAGCATACTAATTGTTTCCACAATCAAAATTTCAGCCGAATTCAAGTCTTCATCTTTCACCATGAGGTCGCCAAGTAAGCTTGCTATGTGAAAGGGGTATTATTTCCGTAATCAGCATGTCAAATTACCTCTAGGAGCTCTAAAGTCATTACCTACCGCATTTTCTAGTGTTTCGCAACGTCTAGAAAGCGTGATTTTCAAACATGATTAACTTGGCTTCAAAAGTGAAAATAGTCAGCTTTTTTATACTCGTGACAAAGTATCGTTCCCTACAAGTCTATGCTAGAAATCAGGCTTCATATCGCTTCCAAATAGTGAAGTAAGAAGTGCTGCCAAAATTCCAACAGCCGCGTTTTTCACATTAAATGCTTTAACTCTACGGATTACTACAAGGCCGAAACAAGTTGAAACAAGCTCAAACACTTATTGTGGAATCTACGAGAGTTGTGCTAGCGAATCACGTAAATCTTGGATAGAAAAGCTTCCTCGAAAATAAAGTTAATGGGGTCAGGCGCAACCCCTCAAAAGGTCAGGCCGCCTGAGCTTTTGAGGGGTTGCGCCTGACCCCCTTAACTTACCTTCAATATTCAAAAATCGCTCCTTTTTTAGTATGAGTGTTGAGCGCAAAGCCTCTTCTTGCTATATTGAAAATTTGGAGCCAAACACTCCACCCCTGTAAAAACGTGTCGTTGTGCAATTGCAGAAAGTTGGGCCTCTGCCAAAAAAAACAAGAACTTTTCAAAAAAACAAAAAAACACGTAAAGGCTGGTCTTCTTCAACATAACACAGTCTAAGGTCCTGGATGTGAAGAGGGGGTCATTTTAGGGGCTTTCACAGGGGGGGGGGGTCGTTTCTGAAGGACCAGTGCCTGACCTCTTGTTCAACCCTGAGTGTCACCGGTGATGAAAGGTTGCTGATGTACGACCGTTGCACGGCTGCTAGTACAAGTCATGAGATTGACCGAGGAAGAGATGGCTACATGTTATCCGGTAAACTAGAGGAAGTTGTTGAAGTAGGTAACGCAACAAGTCACACCAGTGTGATTAGACACTGTTATGATTGCTTCCTCTTTCAAAATCATCCTTCAACACTTCACAGTGACGCCATTTCTATATATGGCTATGGGTACACGCACATACTTTACATCTTCTCTATGAAATTCGTCTGTAAAACGTTATGTCGAAGAGCTAATGCTTCTTTTGGTATGATCGATTGTCCCACGCACAGTTTTGGACTTTCAATTTGAACTCCATAAAAGTAAGTGATTCCAATGTACGTTATATTTTATTGTTCTTTTCCATACTTATTATGATCAAGCTGAATTAATTATGTCCTGCACTTATTCGAAGAATTGCTTTCGTGGAATTCTTATGTACAGGGCTCCTAAATTGCAGAGTCGTTTGCACCAGCGGTCGTGCGACCGCTTCGTGTCCGGGCATCAATGGCGCCGACTCGATCGATGGCGCCGGCGCCGGCAAAATGCCCGGGCGCGACGCGGCCGCGCGACCGCTGGTGCAAACGACTCTGCAATTTAGGAGCCCTGTACAGCTGCTTTGTTTGTGGAGCTATACTTGTCGAGCTGTTACAGCTAGCATCGTTCGCCAAAATTGGCTCAGAGTTCACATATAACTTGAAGAAGGTCATTTGTCCAATCTTCAATTTGAAGCGGTAGATGATTTGACGCTCGAACAGGCGTTAGTTTTAATGCAATTCACAAAGAAGGGGTTACCTAGTATTCTCTTCGACGAAAATATGTTACTGTACTCAATTCTAGACTGGTGCACGAGACGCATCCATGGAAAGTTGCTATGTAGTGCTTGGCACTCTGTGAAAGCAACGTTATCAAAAAGGATCAGAATGATTTTGTGCTTCAAAAGTAGCCAAGAACTCGTTTCTGTTCAGAATTTCTGCTTAGGGTGCAACCAGATTCAAGTAAATTTTTTCTGTGTTGTGCGATTTCCTTCTCCCACAACTTATCCATCAACTTACCTATTGTCTGCACATTACAGTCTACTTCAACCCGGAGCGCGAAACATCCCAAGTGGAGCGGCGCGTCCGCACCGCCAATGCCTCAACGAGATAGATTAGAATGAAAAGACGCAGACTGCAAAGCAGTGCGAATCGTTGCGAAGCGGACTCCCGCCAGTCCAATTTCAGCCTAAACTGACTTGAAACTTACTATACCTTTGATGTTCATCAGTAGAGTTCGCTGATGGTGAACGAATCACCTAGCTTCATCGAGAAAGGCAGTCGAGAAAACAGCATACGATCTCTACCAGACGCTAACATTACATCTAGAGATCTGCGAACACATTTTCGTGTAAACAACCAGAAAAAGAAACTGTATAAACATAATAGGATTGAACCCGATGCCCATTAGCGCTTCTTGTGATGACAGATTACATTGTTCGGCAACTTCCTCTCTATCACCGCGAAACAGCAATGGCATCTTATTTTCAGTCAGTCTACTGGCTTTAGTGAGAGCTATGCATTGCAATAATACATCAACATCCTTTCATCACTGATGATATATAATGTATAATATGGATATATTAGGTTGTTACATAAGTCTTGTTACACTTTGATTTCTTATGACGATAAGTCGTGAACTTCACAATTTTAATAGGGCTCCAGGGTACCATTCGATAGAGCAAAGCAAGCTCTACAAGATAGTCTGCCAAAGTCCGCACCAACTTAGACCCACTGTAAGTTTGCATCCAAAATCTGAGTCGCACTAAAGGGGCAAAACATCACGAAAAATCATATCTTTGTTCAGAAAAGTCCTACGAATCTCCAACTTGCTCACAAAAATTGCCCAGTATATCAAACAATCATATCTACCTTTGCTGTATTTTTTCCTCGTCTAGAAATCGAGAAATGGAAAATTTTTTAGTTTCCACAAAAACGAAGCTATGTTGCTTCTGTTTATGTAGCTGTATACTACAAGCTCTCAGAAGTAGAACCGTAAATTTTCAGCTTTCCAGAAGCTTTAGTTTTTGAAAAATATCAAATTTAGTTTTTCTCACTCGAGTGTTCAATGCTAAATTAGGTAATTCTCGAAAACTAGAGCTTCTGAAGAGCTGAAAATTTGCGGTTATACTTCTAAGGGCTTGTAGGATACAGTCATGTGCATAGAAACAGCATAGCTTCTTTTCTGTAAAAACCAAAATTTTTTCGTTTTCTCGATTTCTAGATGAGGAAAAATTGCAGCAAAGGTACATATGAGTGTTTGATATAGTGGGCAATTTTTGTGAGCAAGTTGGAGATTCGTAGGAATCTTCTGAACAAAGATATGAATTTTTCGCAATTTTTGAGTCTTCACTACGACTCAGATTTTGGATGCAAAGTTACAGTGGATCAAAGTTGGTGCGAACATTTGCATACTTGCAGAGCTTGCTCTGCTCTATCGAATGGTACTTTGGAGCCCTGTAAAGAATATGAAATGCATGACTTGTTGCCGTTAGAAGTCAAGTGTGACAAGACTTATGTAACAACCTAATATTTGCCCCAAGCTTTGCTTCTCTGCAAGCGGGATGTTCCATGAAGCGAAAACTCCCACTCGAAATAGCATCAACGAAACAGGAAAACCATTTTAACAACAGCGAAGTAGTTTTTGACTCTCTCACTAGCGTGTACGTTAACATTCCAAATTTTCACAGGATGCAAAAGAAAATACACGTACTCATCGCCATATCTAGAACGGCGTCAAATGTGTCAAACGTTAAGTGTTTGGAGAGAGTGCGCTCCAGTTGAAAAGAGGTGCGCTAATCGAAATGGCGATGGGGCGCACCTGCAACTCCTCCCAGTCCCGAGACCTTTTACGGGCGTTCCACATCTTGCAGCTCTGCTTGACTGGCAGCGACTTGTGGATGAAACTCTGCCTTGAATTCCTCTCGCGAGCTCACTTCTTAGGCTTGATTTGCCATCGAAGTTCAGCCTTCCAAGGTGAAAAAAGTGCTTGACAGTATGGTTGAACTCGTCAAATTTGTCCGCAGACAGCAGTAAAATTTCCACACCTGATTCTTTCAACGTACAATACCGTAAATACAGAAAGAGCGACTGCATTTTTTTCGGCTATCCCGTATTTTGCTAAAACTCGACGTTGCCGGAGAAACAAAAATGATTGTGGAAAAACAGTAAGTCGTGAGAAAATATGCGTTTTAGTATAAGTTCTCATCAAATCAGTTTGTATTAGTTGATAAATAGCAAAAAAAAGTTCACTAAAAACTACAAATTGTGGACAGAGTGAAGTGAAGCTGTATCAAAGGTAAATGAGTTCAACTTGTAAGCAATTTGCAGCGATTAGCTAAAAAAGATCAACTTACCGAGAACAAGCTAAAAATGAGGCTAATTGGAATGCTAGCCAGTGCCACAGTACCGTCGACGATCAACCAAACTGGTATGTTCGGGTTTACTCGGCACTCCTTTAAATTCAATGCTCCGATTACTATCATAGCAGTTGGGATAATGTTGAGTACGGCCAGCAAAACAGCTGCAACTACTGAAAATATTGATTATGAATTGACAGATACATGTAGGTACAGACATCTTTCCATCACAGATTGTCTTGTTCATTTCTAGACATGCAATCCACTAGAGAACTATTCTCATGAAGCATTTGAGATTATGAACATTACACTTACTACAGGGTGCGGCAAAAGTCTGGAAGCCTAACTTTGCAGTACTGCAATTACAAAGATACTGATGGTTCTGATTTCACTTTTATGCCACATGATGCTGCGGTCAACCTCTACAGAATACACTTTATTTGGCTGGAAATGGCTGCCACATGTTTTTGTAAGAATGGAGGTCACCAAACTAGTACTTTTGCAAAGCGAAAAAACCAGAATTTTTAGTATTTACAGTTTTTGCTGTAGCTAAAGATGCTGTCAGTTTTTTACAAAACTTCGACGCACACAACATAGAAGAGGCTTTGCGCTATTGTATCCTAGTTTTGCTTTTGCCAAGAGCTGTTCTTGCATGAACGGAAAATAAAAGTTTGCGAATGTTACCTACGTGCCAGTGGAAATTCGTCTTCAGAACAAATTTAAAACCTATAGAATGCTCAACAGGCACTACGACCAAGGCTGTGTTTTTTGCATACGTCTTCTAAATTAGAATCTATTGAAATTCGGCCATGGGAACACTTTTCATACTTTTTAAACGATAATTTTAAGTTTTTATTCGCGCATTTGTAGCCAAAACTCCGGTATGCGACATACACATGCTTCTAATTGAAAATCCAATTTTTATTCCTAAGCAATGCAAAAAAATTTTTTGGAAGCATGTTGTAGATAAAAGCTTGCTCTATCGTGCTGCACATTTGCCAAGGTAAAAGAAGCAGTTATTGTGAAGGCGCAGGGCGAATTCCATTACGACTACCTGCGTGCCATGACAGGTGGACTTGCCAAGATTTTGTAGGGCTGCGTGGAAGCCAAAAGAGGCAGTTTTGCAATTCAAGAACTGGGCTGTATCTGCAATGGTTCGAATTATGTGTGCGCCAAATTTTATGTTTCTAGGTACTTCCCTTCTCGTTTTGTATGAAAAAGTACTAGGCTCCCAGACTTTTGCCGCACCCTGTATAAAATAAGCACAAGCAAACGAAAGAAAATTCTTTTTTTTTTGAGGAAAACCATAAACTTCATTTATGAAATACTAGGGCGTCATTTTTTGGAAATATAAGGAATATGATGTAAGCTTCTAATGCACACATTTTTGCCGAATTTTACCATCTTATGTGAGGATTACGGTAGGTTTACGGTGCTATGGGAAAAATTTTAGAATGCATCAGATTTTGCTGAAACTTGGCCTATAGGGCTTATTTGACATGCTGATCACAAAAATGAGATCCGTTTCGCATGAAAAGGCCTCGTTCGTGAATCAAAAAATGAATTTCATTTTAGCGACAAATGAATATGATATTCGTGTTTACCGCATAGGATTACCCTATAGTGCAAGGTTATAGCAAACTCTGACTTTTCGCAGCTTAGTTATTGACAAATTGCCTTCAAAACTTGACGCATTTGACTTGTTCAACTTCTCAAAGGCGCTCCACCTTAATTTGTGTTTAAATTTCATTTCTTTTTCACTGATTCCAATGTGCCAACTTCCAGCTACATGCAGCCTATAATTGCTTTATCATATGTTGAATCAGGTTTCGTAGGGCTTCATGTTTGCCAAAAAATCGTGAAATCTCGATTTTCAGCAGTTTTTAAAAAATGCTTAGATTTTTTGTACTACGTTATCAAGAATCAAACGATTTGCGCAGACTTGCAGCTTACATCACGATCTACATGATGCCACAAAGTGAGATTGCTACATAAAATAGGAAAAAAGTTACGGGAAAAGTTGCAAAACTTATGTGCCAACCTAATAAATAGCTTCAAAGATATTTAAATGAACTAATATGGACAGTTCCTATTGCGTACCATTACGCTAAATTTTCGAAAAATAGCTTCTTCATTTGCTCTAACATCTGCCTAGAAAAGTGAATACAATGAAATTCTGGTTTTGAGTGCAGTTATTTCAAGTTCTGTATTAATAGATTTGTCAAGAAGCCCGTACTAACCATGTTATCACGAAAAGAGCTTCTTGGTCGTATGCTAGCTTTGTGTAAAAAAGAAACATAGATGAAAAAATTGCCCCCGAAAAGGCCTAGAGAAACGCTCATTGATTTTGTATCGACTTAACATTTTTATCTTTCAACCCGGGAATAGAAGCAGCCCTGGAGCTGCACACAGATTATCATGAAATAGAGGAAAATGAATAGCTTGTGGACATAACAAATCGAATTTTATCTAACTTGTCGTTAAAATTGTCATCAACTCAACAATTTCATGCAGTTAAACGGAACGAGCACTCGTTACAAATTGGCAAATGTATTCATGCACACTGTTACTTAGGCGAAAGTTGAACTCACATGAACACTGAACACATCCGAACGCGTGCCTTAGGAAAATTACCAAATCTTTGGCTGATTTCACCTTTCGAAGCTCTCTGTATAGTCGCTTCCATCTCTTTTTACCTGAATATGTCACATAAAATGCGAAGACTACGAAACGTCGAACTGAATGAATTGGAAGAATGCAGAAAAAAATGAGATTCAGTTCCTCTCGAAAAAACGTAGGACCGATTTCGCTGTTTCTGTATAAAATTGCAATGTATTCTTCATTTTCTAGTTGATTTATTCTGAGCGTTAGCAATCGTCAGAAACCGTCAAGGAAAAGTCTTGGGTTATGGAAAAAACCTGCTTTTCATTAGTGGTGAAAGTGAGGCCTTTTCGTCCAAAAATTTATATCAAAACCTGATATGGCACGTGCAGTGTATTTAGCGGCTGGGAATGGGAATTGAGAAGTGAGTTCCATGTTAGCGAAACTGAGAACTGTGCTCTGTCTAACTCCTCTCACAAGCCTTTCGGAGTGCGATGATTTTATAAGCTATGAGAAAGGATGAGAAGTGCGATGTATGGCTCTAGAATTCAGTCTCACTTTGAGAAATTACTGACAGCCTAAAACTAATCGATCCAACGGCATCCTACTTTAATATAATGGAAATTCTTTTTACTTTGGCAGAAAAGTCCATATGCCATTTTAACAGGAACTGCCGCATCTGATTCTTTTTTATTCTTCTCACCTCTTAGATGTTATGATGACTTGAACACAAGCCCCAACTAACGTCTGACGAATTTGGCAGCTGTTTCGAAAAACGCAATGAGCTCTTCACATGGCACTAACAGATTAAGCTTACAAAGAAGAGCAAAGTTACAAGATCATCTTGATTATCGAAAGAAAGTAAAAAATGGCATACATGTGTATACTATTGGGTTGTTGCAAAAGTTCTACCCGTTTTCGATACCTTTTTTGAACTGGCGATTTTGGAGGAAAAACCATTTTTCATAAACAATATTTAAATCAATCGAAAGCTCTTTTCTTCTAGTTTTTCAGGCAGATTTTCTTTTTCATAGATCTTTGTTCGCTGTGTGGTTGCTACATTAAAAAGACAGCGAAACAAATGTAAAAATTTTCGTCTTTGCTTTGTTGCCGTGAAATCTACAGCCAAAAGAAGAAATTCCTTTCAAAACATATATAGTGTTTGCTGGAGACTTGTGCTACGAAACGCTCATCGAGATGTGATTTCAGAAAAATTTTGAACCTACAAACTTTTAGCTCAAACATAACCTGTCTTTATGGTCCCTTCAAGTCGCATAAAAATCATAAACATATTGCAATCGCGGAATTTTTACTCTGTGTAGTAAGATTAGAGCTAGAACAACTGCTACTAGAAAAACGAAAAGATTTCCTGGTTTGTCAACGGCGAACAAATCAAAAATGTCAGAAAATTGCATTTTTTGCCGCCTCGGAAAGAGCAAAATAAGTGGGTCCTTTCGGATTTTTCAGCACAAAATTTTTATGAAGGAGTTTGATCAAATCCAAAGTTAGCGGTACTGCTCAGTCGACTATGGACTACACTGTGAGCAGTGCTTATGCAACTCAGCTATATTCCAAATCAAGTTATGTTTGTGCAAAGTGAAGGTTTCTACAAGGGGATGTTCCTGGATTTTCGCCTATAAAATCTTCTCCACTGTTACTGCAATAATCTTAAAGAGTGCTCAGAATAGCCAAAGGTTTGCAGATTGTAATACAGTTTATAGTGATCACAAAGATTATTTCTGAGAAGAGTTATGATGGATCAAAGTCAAAGTTCGAAAACGGGTAGAACTTTTGAAACAACCCAATACATATGTACAATAAGGCTTATGGAAATTTTTTGGGAAATTAAGAAACACAAACGTAGGATTTTTTGGATTCAAAATGTCATTACTGTTTTAATAGTCGAGTGTGCACTCTCCACAAACCAACGCTGTTTTAAATGAATGGCCGGCAACCCCACATATCCCAATGACGACGACTCACGTAAGACAATACTCACCAACCAATTAATCAGAGTTTGTCGATGTCTGCGAAAAGATTGTCTGACAAGGGCAAAATGGACAAAGTTCGAAGTGGCCAATCCCGACAAGTTGTATACCGTTGAATACTCCATAGAGGGCTAGGTACGTTTTCGCCTTCATTATCTGCTTCTCGGTCTCCTACACGAAGTTATGACCCTCGACTCCGCCGTGGGGCCGCCGTGCGTCGTAAGTACTCGCCGCCTTCATCCAACAGGGAAGGTGACTCGTAGTGCAGCGACAAGCATGCAGACTCGCAAAACGAGCTGCAGTTTGTTGCAAGTTCGATCCCTTTTGCTTGCAACGCTTTTGCACCCATTCCCAATATTTATATTGCTAGCGCGAAGTCCTTAACAGGTTATTATTTATTGTTTTATGTGGCAATTTGGTAATTTTCCGTTTTTGTTTACCTATGCGGTTAAAAAGGTAATCCAACATCTAAAGACTTCGAAAACCTTATTTTTTTCGTTAACTTGAGAGTACGAGCCAATCCGGATAAAATTTGTTGTAGCAATTATGGAAGGCTAAAAAATGCTGAAAGCATAGGAGGGATTCGCAGTAAGCACAAGTATAAATTAATTATGTTAGGTGATAATCAGGTTTCTGTTTATCAGTGTCAGCACCTTTCTTGCTGCTTGCTTGTGTTCGTTCTTGCATTCCTATTCATCAGCATTTTATTCTTGCTTTCACCAGATCATCCTCAATTACCTTTTTAACCGCGATAGGGACTTCGCGCTAGCAATACAGATAATGGGAATGGGTTGCAAAAGAGTTGCAAGCAAAAGGAGTCGAACTTGCAAACAAAAAGATGCCTCGTCATGAGTCTGTTACCACTGCGCTACAAGTCCACCTTTGTGAGGGCTTGGCATCAGCTGGCATGGGGCAAGCTGGATATTGTTTTTGGGACAAAATGCAAAGGGGATACCGTTTTTGTCGACAAATTGCGACTTTTTTTAGTCGATATTCCGCTTTTGGGGTTTTTTTAGGTTTAGGAAGAGTCAAGGGGGACTTCGTTTTGAAATTCCCTGGTGCCAGCTCGTGCGGAACCTTGACCTTGGTTGTCGGCTGGGCGACGAAGACGAATACTTATGGTGCGCAACAAGGGAATCGAGGATTTCGTGCAGGAAACTTCGTGCAGGAAACCGAGAAGCAGATAATGAAGGCGGATATGTATCCAGCCTTCTATAGAGTGTTCAACGGTATACAGCTTGTTTGGATTGCCCGCTTCTGTTCTTGGTTCCCCTTGGGAGATCAATGATAAATATTCAAAAGAATCTATCGTTCTGTATAGGTTTTCCGTGCAAAAGTAGTCGAAACTCGCTATATTCAATGGGAACGCAGGACCGAAAACGATATAGAGGATTTAGGCTTATTGGAAAAGTCTTGCGTGAGCGCACGATATGGCTGCGTTCATACTTATTCAGCTTCCGGCACAGTTCCAGTACAGCGCGCTCTGCTCTATGCGCTGCAGTCGCCCGAAGGGCAGAAATTCATAACCGTTCTTAAAGGCTTTTGCTTTGGAATTCGCTCATTTTCGTTGCAATCCTGTACCTCGCTTCCTCTTGTCATGAACAATTTCCCAATTAGAACGGGCTCGATGAGTGCTATCTCGTTTCGCGTGCTAGTTGGTAGCTATTTCAATCGAAATAATATTCATCGTACATTGCTCCAAAATCGCGCACTTTTCTCACTGAAAGCGGAAACTTCAACCACGGACGAACGAGCAAGCAGTATGATCTATGAAATTCAGACAATTGCACCGGAAAGTTCGCTGCCTCAAAGCGCGTTACATTTCGCGCCACGGCTCTTCAAATCTTTGCCTGATGAGCCGAGGCCCTTGAAATTTCAGCCTGGGACGACGCGAGACGTGTTTCTTTTACCGAAAGTGCAGCGGTCAAATTTGAATTTGAGAAGGTCTAAGAGCGTCACGGGCCAACCAGATCATTCAGCGAGCAGCGGGCCTCATTAGAGGATCCATTTCTTACACGCTGTAGGCGCGGGGCTGGCGTACGCCGCAACGGTGGGGCTATCCTAAGTGTCTAAGAAATTGGATATCACTCCCGGACTTGATCTTATCTGATAGAGTTGAGTTACTATGCTTGTAAATAAAACTTCGACAGTCAGATATTTGTCATCGAGGTCAAAAGATGTCGCCAGATAAGTAAGCAAGTTGTTCGAACTGCACACAATTGGATTAGATGTCATTATGGAAGATAAGATAAAAGGTTTACCAACATTACCTAGGCCTTACAAGCATGCGGGGCCAACTAGAGGCGCTTGGCGGGCGCTTACAGTACGTGCCGGCAGTCAATTATTGGTCCCAAATCGGTTTACCTGACAGCTCGCGGTATGGACGATTGTGGTCGGGCAAGCACCGCGGTGCTTCCGAGAAAATGTTTGAGAGTGGAGCTAAAACGCTGAAAAACCAATCTTGTCAAAACCCAAGGAAATAGCGCGATTATCGCAAGTAATGTCATTCTAAGAGTTTTTTGCTGACTCTGTTAAGGAATGCAATGACTTTCTGAAATACAAGAAGGGTTTCTGACTGCAAAAAATGGAAGAAATCAGTTGCACAAAGGAAAACACAGCTTTTATGCAACCCTTGGCACAAAAAGTGTTCTTTCCAAACGCCCCAAGTTTGGAAGTTCTTCATCACAAGTGGAAGCTGAGTACAGGAATGAGAGGGGAAACGAACTAAATTGACAAGCAAGCTGCTAAAAAAGTCAAAAACTGGTATCTCCCGCAGCCCATGCGTGCGGGTGACTGCAGCGCATGCAGCAGAGTGCATGCACAGTCTTGCTAAGTTCGCGCGCTATGCTAAGCCGCGTCGGAGCTCAACTATTAGGTTGTAAAGAAAGTTCCCGGACACTTTTGGAAATTTCATTTTCGAGCGCATTTTTTCCGCGCCCGGTCGGACTTTGACATTAAGTTTTTTATACTGTTCAGTAGAGGGAAGCTTGAAGTTTTTGATACGGCTTCTGATTTTTATCGATGCCAAGACGTGTTTGATCTGCACATCAAAAAGAAAAATCTTTCCAAATTCCACAATTTTTCTTTCTATGGCCATTTTTTTGTGCAGTTCAAAGAATTTCTTCCAAATCGTGGGTGATCTGATTGAGAAGCCTGTTAATTTTTGACAGCTGCACTCGAGTTTTGCGATTTGCGCTCAGAATTTAAAAGCTGTCAAATTTGCCTCTGACTGCTATCTTTTCGCAGCTGGAGTCGCTTCTGCGGGGATCGTCAAGCCTGGATGATGGGTCCAAAGTGTAAGGCATTACACCAACAATGTTCGCAATAATCAAAGATTCGGCCACCCTATGCAGAACGACAAGACTTCAAAGTCACTTCTGCATTTTTAGGGACAGAAATTTTTTAAACTTTTTGGAAAAAAAATTTTGCAGGTGGTCCTGCAAAAACATGAATGATCCTCATAACAGCCCCAGCAGACTTCTATATAACCACAGCACCTGAGCTCTCCAGCCAGGGCCCGGCACAGATCGTCTGAAAGCAGGCTGGACTTCGTTTTTAAAGCGAAAGGCAAAAGAGGTATCGTTTTTGACGAGTCGGGGCCGAGCACCAAGAATAAGCGCCAGAGTCGAACGCAAGCTTTTCGGACAGGTTATCATACGGACATGCTCTATCGTGCATGGCGAAAGTGCGCGATTTATAAGCAAGGCTAAAATAAACAAATTGCTTGTTTACACCGCACACAAAAGCATATGGCACCAAAATTGAACTGTATGTATAGAAAATTATTTGCGAAAGGATTACGTAAAAAGATTTAAAAACTTATGTGAAGTAATACCTTTTCAAAATTAGATTGTCTCCAGACGGCCACCAGACGATCTGAGATCGTCTGGAGCATATTTTACGTCACTTCACATAAGTTCCGGATCTTTTTAGCATGGACGGAATCTCCGGTCAAATAACCCTGAGCATGGAGACATTTTCATATCATTGCCCTTCCTTTGCTTTTTGCCTTCATTTCTTCTCGCTTTGTTAAATATCGCGCTCTACTGCCAAAGTCTGTCTTGTGCATGCGTATATTCAGCTCCAATCTGGATTTTCACTCTTATCTTACGTTTTTTCTTTCAGAATAGTAAATCCTTCTTGTTTTCATCTTGTCCTAAGTGGATAGGTTAAAGGGGACTTAGTAAAACTTCCGAAAGTTAGGAGAAACTTCGTTTTCAGAAACCCTAGAAACCGAAACGTGCCGGGCCCTGTCTCCAGCTTCCATCGTGCCTGAGATAATGTTGGACAAATAGGCCACTTTTCGCGACGACCTTTTTCCCTTCTGCGCATGCTGGTTGACCGTAGTGAGGTGCTGAAAAGCCAGCAAGACAAATATATGTTGCGGACAAGACTGTCTTTGCAATGGAGTTTATAGCTTCATAAAAGAATCAATCTACTCAAAGTTACAGCAATTTGAAAAAATTTTTCGCAAGTGTTCGGGAACTTTCTTTACAACCTAATATTATGAGCCAGCTATAACACATTATGAAAAGTACAAATGGGTTCGTCTAAATCCTGCCGTCGCCATCGCTACGCACACCTTTTCCTGCCTTCAGCGCATTTGCAGAGAAGCGCCAAAGATTGGCTGCATTGAAGTAGACACGCCAAAGAGAGAAGCTAAAGGCATGCGTAGCGGTGATTGTTGGTCTTCTTGTCTAAATGGGAATTAGCCCTGCCGCTGTCTTATTTTGTCAGGTCGTTCCAATTTTTTTTCGTTTTTTGCCTATTGATCGCTTGAAATAAAGCAGAGTGAACTACCCAAATTTCACGCGTATAAGGCGCGGGGATTTTTTTTTCAAAATCGACCAGCCTAGAAGACGCAGCACTTTACAATCAAAGGACCCCATAACTTGCTGTCTACTGTTTGAGAGATGTAAGGATGTCGTGCGATGTAAGGATTTCTTTCCGGAATACAGTGAAGTAAATTAGCGGCTCGCTTGAAAATCTGAAAAAGTGCGCCTTATCGCGTGAAATTAGGGTAAGTGCAGTGCATTTACTGTAGTTTTCTGGCTTTTTCAGATAGCTTTACTTTTAACATGTCAAATTATTTTTTTCAGTGTTAACGAGTTCAAAATGCAAGTTAAAACAAATTAGAAACATCAACTGACGAAACCCGAGTGTTATTTGATGTTGCTTTTGATGGGCCTTCTTCTTCCGATTCGGGAATTTTCACGGGTAATTATCACACTTGTGAATTTTTGAGCACACAAATGGCTGCACCCGAACTTTCAAAACTTTGAACCTTAGGCAGCACTCAAGTAGAATTAGTTTTGAGTTATGATCAACTGTTGGAAACTTCAAACTTCGAAAATCCTGGTGTCTGACGCGTTCGTGCATGACACGACTTCGCGAATGTGAAGACTTTTGAATGTAAATTGCAAAAGGTTGAAACACAGTCGAAAATAGTTTGAAGTGTGCTGTAACACTTTGTTCACGCTATCCACCAGATATCAATCTTTTCTAAAATAAAAGTACTGAGAATATGCTGAAGTTGGACATAGCCCTTTTGCAGAAGTACGAAATTTGCAGCAGCAGTACACCTTATAAGAGGTTGCCCCTTATACTGTAAAACTAAGTTATTGAAGCTTGATTGAATGCTTACCACTTGTCGGTTGCTCAGATGATGGAGCGATCTGCGCCATCTGCAATGAAGGTTATATAATAAACAGTTGCAGCAATTACCAATGACAAATTGACCAATCGATTTGCGATCTGCTCAGAAGTATTTTGAGTCATATGAGGCATATTATCGTGGTGCTTGGTAGGCGAAAGCTGCTAATACAGCCTTACGATAGAAGAAATAGTACTTGTATTTTGCAGGAAACAATTGCACGCAGCGGATTCTTCCACATTTGGCAGTTTGCATGAAACTTGAAAGATTAATAGTAAAAACGTGAGCAAATGCAGTTAGAATATAAAATGGACAAATCATTTTTGGATGTTCGTTGACTTATACAAAATTTTCTTCTCTATAAAAAGTATAGCGAACTTTCGAGCAAAAATGGTAAACTATTATATAATCTGCATTCGTATCTGAATACCAGTAGTTATAAGATGCGCAGAAAACAAGTGGTTTTTGATTTGGAAGAATATTGTAATGTAGTCGTCCTCACCCTACCACTAACTCGTTGCGCAAATCGAATTTGGAATGGAGAAGGCCGGTCGCGGCGGAGCACGGCACTTGAACTCTCAGTTCAATTTTACGCGTTTTTATCGCCTTTCTCCGTAATAAGTGTTTCGTTATGAAAATCAACGATACCGTTGTTCTCAAGCGTCGTTTATTACGGCTATGCTAATTAGAGGGCAATCGAAAATTCGTAACGATAGCTGAGCGTTGAGGCACCATATAAATCTACCTAATTGGTTGCGCGGGCGGTCGCACGCGTGCTATCACTGCGTGCCGGGACCAAAGGCTCGGCTTCTGCTAAAGGCTGCTACATGACAAAGACGCTTTAACTTTGGGCACGAAGGCGGCTTTCTTAGCCGCAGAGCGCATGAGGTTTAAGATTTACAACGGTAGATACGCGTGCGCCGCGTTTGCGCCCGCTCAGCTAATACTGCTTCTGCGCCTTCTTCATGCAGCAGCCTTTAGCATGATGTTGAAAAACTGAGGAAACTGTTCGTATAAGATTTTCGCTTCAGTACGAAAGCCATGTTGCTCCATAGCTTTGCTGCTATTAAGACAAAACTTTTCCTGCTAGAGAGGAGTGAGAAGATTGCATAAAGCAGGTGCGCCTTCGCTGTTTCTTTAGGTTATATGTGTTGCTTCTAACTTTGAGACCGCGTGTATGGTGTTTGAGTGTTTTAGTGACAGAAGTGTTGAAAGGTCTTTTCCCAACAAGGCATACGTATGCACTTACCCTTTGATTCAGCTGGCCTGGCGGCTGGAAGGCGGGGCTTCGTGATCTCATTAAGGTTAGATAGTGATCAGGGAGCACGCGCGCGTGAGAGACGCAGACTGCCCTGCGAGCGCGAGCGCCTCAACTAGTTCACAAAGCCTCGCCTTTCAACCGCCAAGCCAGTTGAAACAAGGGTTACATTCTTCATATCGTTATCCTACTTAGAATACTTTGATATCAATCACATGCATGATCTTATCATAAACTTGCTAAAGACGCTAACATAGAAGTTTGTGAAACATGAGAATAAGTATGCGACATTGCCTTTGATCTGCTTGGTACCATTACACCTTCCGATGTATTTTGAAAAGTTTAGTGCAGCGTTGTTTTTGAGGTTGCCCTTGAATGCTCTCAAAACTGATACGACTACAATTCGTTACTCAAATCCAGTCTAGCGTGGACATACAACTTTCACTGTAATAACATGAATTTATCGATGTGCAGGACACGGATGTTGAACCCAATTTTGCATTTTCTTGTTCAACAAAATCTTAAAACAACATGCTTGGCACAAATAAATTTCTTTCTAAGCCGAATAGTCAGTCATCTTAGACGAAATAGCATAAATCAACTGCGTAATTATATTATTCCAAAATCTCAAGTCTGTAATGAATGATGAGTATCTTTACAGAGACTTGAGAGTTGACCCTGAGATAGCACAAGTTTGAGGAGAGTTTGGAAATTAGACACGTCCACCCAGCATTTTTTGTATCAATTTTCATCATGCAAAAAAAAAGATCTGACAAAACTTGGTATACAAAAAGGTTATACTACAAGAAGAGTTTTTCGCAATCCATATGGTTTAGAACAGTGGAAGATTCCAACAGCAAAACGACTTTTATTTGCCTGAAGTAGTGGCACAGTAAAACAGTCATAAAGCGGTGTTGGTACTGGGCAAGGTCTTATCTTTGAAACGAGTAAGTAACATATTCCGAGTATTTTCGATATGCGCCTGTTTTATACACTCTTTCCACCCATCTTTACCTCAAAAAGGTCCGTCCCAATAGCTAAAGCTATTGATCACCACATAACCATAGTACTGAAGCAAGAGTCACTTTTACATCGCACCAGCTCTTCCTAGCAGCAAGCCGAGCTCTTGGTCCCGGCACGCAGTGAAGGCATGCGCGCGATCGCCGAGCCAATTGAGTAGATTTTGATGGCGCCGAGCGCTGAAGTCATGCCATTTGCGTAAGTGTTCTGTGCTGTTGTGGGCGCAAAGACCGCAATCAAATCCTTTTTCACAATTCTTCAAATGACCTGTACTTCAAGTCTGAATACAGGTTAGCTTTGAGAAGTAATGCAGTGAAATTTCTGCCATTAATCTTCTTTTATGTAAGTAATATTTGCAAAAGCGTTCTAGTGAATTAATGCCACAAATTTTCCTTCTGCACCGTTTCCAGAAGTTTAAGCAAAAACATCTAAACGAAAACCGAGCATAGCGGTGCGAAACAATGCTTAATTGTAACAAAACGCCAAATAAAATCAAAACATTGTCATAATTTTTGAATCAATAAGCAAAGACGGAAAAAATGGAAAGAAACATGTATACCTTGGAAGTGCTGAAGTGTCGCGCTTTGCCGCGATAGGTCTGCTCTAATTGAAATTCGAAATCGCCCACTGGGCAACTAGTGAGGTGAGAATGGCTATAATGTACGAATCATATAAAAATTATATGATTATAAAGAATAAAATTTTAATAGTCTCGTTAGTTACTATTTTGAGGCAGTACGTCTTTGTTCCTATACGAAAATATACTTGTTGCGAACTGTGAATGCCCAAACAATAAACTAGCCGGCTCTTCGCTCAAAAGATATACTGTGTCGTTGACATATTTGCAAAATGAACGAGAATGAACTGAACAGGCTCATGCGGAAGGGTTTCTTTAGTCCATCAAGTACTTAGGATGGCGTTCTTCCACAAACGGCCTGCATCAATTCAAATTCAAAATAAATTGACCATTCATGTGTTTATTGGCATAAGGATGAATACAAGATATACTGCTTTGATAATTTGTTATTGAGAATCATGCAGTTTGTACAGATATTGCTTAATGTATGCAAAAAACAACAGGATGTCAATCCATATCGCAGTCGCGCATGATGAAGTTTTCCTAATTCTTGCCTAGTGACAACCAATGAAAGTAGTGCACTGTTTTTTATAGTTTATCGATTATTCCGCTGTTTCTCAGCAATCATAGAAGGAATAAAATGCTTATCAGTTATTATCAAGACAACACAGTATAGTAATGGCAGCAGCGTGTTTGCAGTCAGAAAACGGTAATTAGCTAGACAGCCACTTATGGTTAGCTTGGCGTTAAATTAAGAGGGGAGGTGAAGAAGAGGGCTCGTTACAGGTGTGTGACGATCGAATCGCCGCGACGCGCGGTGTTACAGCAATCGCGGAGCGAAGATTCGTTTATATTGTACAGTACGTTTTTCTTGTCGATAGTCTTGTAACTTTTTTCCCCATTTAATAACCTCTTATCATTATTACTTATGTCAGAAGCAACAACTTTTCTCGAAAGGAGTCGCTTTCCCTGAGACATCGCCTGGAGGTCACATCATCGAAGTGAACCGTCTTTTCTCTTGAGTTCTTTTGAGTTTTTTAAGTTTTCCGAAGTGTTTTGTAAAGGAAAATTTCTATTATAAATGTCTGCTGTAAAATGATCGTTTGGTGTGTACTTTTTTCTCCACGGACACTTTTGCAAGGTTTCTAGCACGACGTCAAATAAATAACATGGGAATTGTCTAAAAACTCAAGAACAGATGAAAAATTAGTGCTGCAAGTCACGTTGGCAGAGTTCTTGGCGCTCATTTAGTGTCAGCTTGTTGCACGCGTGGCTTTGATTGTCACTCACATACAGGGTGTCCCAAAAAATGTGGACACTGTTTGATCGTCAATAACTCCGTTGCTTTCAAGTATTTCGCCGAGCTTGAGGCACCATTCTGTAAATTTGTAGTATGGAGCGAATCATCGGTCGGTGTTCGTTACTGTAGGATTACGGTATGAACTTCTAGCATGTAGATCTATTGTGAAATATGCCATCTGACAAAATTTATTTTCAAAATCTGAAAAATTGTGTACTAGGGTTTTCGCGCACGCTGATTCCATTACACAACTTCGGTGTAGTCACCTTCCTGACAAATGCTGAAATTCAGTTATTACGATTTACCTGGGATAACCTTGGAAAGAATCATCACAGTAAAATGGAAATTTCAAATTCGAAAATCAGCGGTTCCCATTACCGTAGTACAGGTGTTTTTGGCTTGTTTGGTCTTGTTCCGAGGCAGAATATGGCCTCCACAATAGCCTAAAATCTTTGTCAAAGTTCCTACCGTAATCCTACAGTAATGAAGAGCAATCGACGATTCGCTCCCTACTGTAATCTAAGTTGAACCTCGCTCTATAAAATGGTGCCTCAAGCTCGGCAAAAGACATGAAAGCAAGAGAGTTATTAACAACCAAACAGTGTTCACAATTTTTTGGGACACCATGTATAATGAAACGCACCATTGTTCAAGCTGCTGTCCTTTTTTGTAGCCTTGCGTTTAAGGAGCGTTCTTTGAAAGCACTTAACTGCTAATCTGTAGCATTTAGAAAGCTTCACTGTCTCCCTCCGCTGCTTGTTAAGCCCTGGTAGTGAAATATTCAATGTTAGATATTTATACTTCCAAGTGCAGGTTGCCAAAATGTAGTCCTAGAAAAAAAATGTTTTGGAAAGAAAATCTATTGGTATTTCTCTTGAACTAAGACAAGGATGCAGATTTACAGTTGTGTTATAAAATCAATAAGCTAGAGGAACCGTATGTGTGAGAAACCTACTAAAGTTTGCCAACTGATGATCACTATTTTTTGAATCTAGCCATAAAATGTTACAGCAGGTGTATGTATACAGTCTCTGTGGAAAGTATAGCGTGAGCGAGGGTGGTACTAACAAAATTTGAACTGAGATACGATCCCCTTTTTGGTGCCCTCACGAAATTATCAACTAAGTTTGTGAAATTTGTAAAATTTGTAACATTATAAAGGTTGGGCTAACTAACAATACGCACTTCAACGCTTACACAGAAACTGGCGTTAGCATTGTTGTCAATGCTCATGTGAGTTTTTTTCAAGCGGTTTCAATCAGCGCTTATCTTTCTACGAAAGAGGAAAAACTGAGAAATATGTCTAGCCTGCACATAAGGGAGGCAAAATGGCTTTTCCCAACTTACCTATAGAGCTATCTGCTTGTCTGTGAGTGTGCCAATGTGTGGGTCTGTCTGTACGTGTGTTCCAAATAGAATATTTCATACTGAACCGATCTGGACTAAAGCTTTGACGCATACAATTCGGGGTGCGGCGGGTTGATAGGCCACATTTCGTTATCAATCGATACCCATTTTATCGGCTTTGTGCACTTTGAGCTACGGGGCTGGGAGTTGGCATAGAGTGGAGGAGGGGTAAGCAAGCATGGTGATAATGAATATAATCAACGTTAAGACTCCCGCCAGAGTGCCGAAGTTATGCCAGCGCTATGCCAGCATTCCGATCGATACACGTGTATTTCGTTGGGGCGGGGCTAGCTCAGCAGGTAGATGTCCCCAACGAAATACACGTGTATCGATCGAAATGCTGGCGTAGCGCTGGCATAACTTCGGCACTCTGGCGGGAGCCTAAAGGTTCCAAAGAATGGTTTTGTCGATCCCAACGATTCTGATGACTACGCGATTGCGAGTTGGCACAGGGAGAGGGGAGGGGAGAAGCGATCATACTGATTATAAAACCACTGGGGCAAGCAGCTGGCTTACAGAAGTGGGACTAGGAGGGAGAAATGTTGTGTAAAGTGAGACGGACTGGTGGGTTTTATTATTTTACGTTCAGGAGCGAAGCCGGTATGCAGCTAGTTCTGTCAAAGGTCAGTTTAACAGGCAATAGCTCGCTTCAGCAGAATTGATAAAGTTTCTTATGTTATAACATTTTGCATTATTTGTTTTTAATCTTCAAGGAAAATTTTACAAAATAGAGAAACTACATAAGTCGTAAGAACTAACACAAGTGCTGAGAGATGTGAAATCAAAGCGACAAAATCTGATAAGACCATTATACCACGAGCGCATTATGCAAAATGACTGATATCTTCAAATTATCTATAATTATTTACAACTACATCGCGCAACAAACTTTGGTGACACGATTAAGATCACTAATTGATTATTGAATTTGAAAACACTATGACAATTCAGAAAGACTGCAAAAATTAATTTCGATCATTCTTGACATTAACCTGGCTTGCCGCAAGTCGCTTGCTCGTTAAGAATAAAGACACGCGCATTTTTGGTTATAATTTTACAATGCTTACAATACTTACAATGCTAAACAATATTTGAGAAGTCTAGAAAAGTTTACGACAAAACAAATGCAAATTGATGAAAGCAGTCTATAAGTTTCCTATAACCAACTGACAAGGAAAGGAAGGTTGGTCGAAGTGCCCTTTCAAAATGACGTGTATACTGCCTTGTAGAGCTTGGAACGATTCTCTACTTTTGCTATCTGCTGCGGGCTTCTGGGCGAGGAGTTATGAAGGTTTTGTGAGTGACAATCTGAAAACAAAAATAGGGTAAAATCAGTCGTAACCTTTTCCCAATGTTCAAATGAAGCAGCGGCGAATTGGTATATTTGAATCAAGAATATTTGTTGCACAGAGTGACCCGACTACGCCAATTAAGCCTCGTAAAAAATGTTACGACTGATTTTATCCCCCTCTTGCATTCAGATTTTTACTCACAAAAACCTTCATAACTCCCCGCTCAGAAGCCCGCAGCAGATAGAAAAGGTAGATTTGGAATCAGCGTTCCAAGCTCTACAATGAAGTATACACCTCATTTCGAAAGGCCACTTCGACCAACCTTCCTTTCCTTGTGAGGTACTTTCTCCCTTTCCTGTCTATTTATCATTTCGCGTTAAAGCGGGAAGCAGAAATTGATGAATTTGTTTAGTACCGTACAAAGAGTGTTCTGAAAAATGTCACGTGTTTGATCGTTATTATCTTTCTTGCTGTTTGTCTTTCGCCGCTGTCGGGTAACGTTCTGTAGAGCTGGCTTCAACTTAAACTGACAGTATATTGCGAATCGCCTATCTCTCTTCATTACTGTGAAATTACGGAAGAATGCATTGTGAAAAGTCCGTATGGAAGGATAAATCTGGAAAGTTGTTCTGCATTGTTTGCATGCATGATAAATTTACAACAACTTATTACAAGTTTTTTTTTTCAAGCCTTTTTAGTCCACGTTTTCATAACATACGAGGAAAAGCTGTTAGATAAAACATAGCATAGATTTGTAAAAGAAGGGTTACCATGAAGTGCAGATTTTAAAGTTTTTTTTGATTATTGACTCTGGATAGTGTTAAGTTGATGCAGAGTTGATGCTTGATCCTCATCTTGGAGCGGTAAAAATTATGTAACAAAGTATGAAAGCAAGCTCATCGGCTACCAAATTTGTAAAAAGTCGTGGCACCTCAAAGCGTGGCGGTTTTTGATAGCGAGAGAGTATAAAGAGCAATGCTTTGACACGAAGCTTCGACAAGTTTTTCCTTATGATCAAAATAAGTCCACAACAGCCCCTATACAAATTTGGAAGCTGATTATACTACGCTCCTGCTGTCATAACTTCTTCTGAAATTAACATTTTTCCATGATTTTAGATTTCATGTGTTGAGCAGTTCTTTGGTTATCAGAAAAATGTTAAAATTGGCGAAGAACCCTGCTAAAAAAAGGGAAAACTCTAAAAATTTACAGCATTTTTCTTTAGATGTCTCTTTTGACATGATAAGGTTCGAAATTTTCGTAAGTTTGATCTTAGAGAGCCCATAGATTGTTAGGTGTTGTGCAATTCATCGACCGAACAAAAGCCGCTTTTTGACCTTCTTCAGTACATGCCCCTTACAAATTACGAAACTTTACGCTTGACGAGAGTAATGGAAGGATATTTGTTAATGGGCCTTGCTAGCTTTTGCTCTACTCTAGCACCTCCAACTTTGGCAACGATTGCCGTTATCAGCAGAAAGTTATTGCTTATAGAACATTTATACAAAAATTATTGTTAACACCAAGTTTTACTACCAAGGCGTTTTCTTTATGCAATTGAGCTTGCGCGTATACTAGCCTGTTTCACCCTTATTTCACATCCAATAAGCGGACTTGACCTGAAGAGTGCATCGTGGAGATTTCTTGCAAGATGAGAACGTATCTCGGCCTGAGGGATTTAGGACAGCAATTTTACTAGATCGAGGAATTTAATGAAGTTTGATATGTACAAAAAAGAGAAATAAAGGCGCTTTTCTAACAGTACAGTACAAATAGTGATAGAGTCACGGTGATTGGCGATACTCATATTTCTGATAACGCGCTTGGATTTCTTAGTCTAGGTCCTTCATTTTCTATTGCTCAGAAAGTAGATGGGTCTGTTTTTCGTAAGGTTGTTGGTGGTTTACACAGACTCCGAGACCAACTGAGAACGAGGACTAGACTTGATGACAATCACGAATCTCTACAGAATGCTCAAATTTCGCAGCCAGCACGATTACTTCCACCCATTCCTTTTCCAAGTTTGTTTTACAAAGAACCTCAGCCTACGGCTGAAGCTGATGTCAAGTTTAAGATTTTATCTGCTGGAGTGCTAAATGCCTACAGTCATAAGGCGAAGCATCCACAACCGACTAACTTGACTCAGTCACAATGGCTTGGTTACAAGGAAATACGTGATTTAGTCTCTAGTGGCGCTGTACGCATCTCAGTAAGTGATAAGGGGAGCGAGTTTGTGATTCTTCCACGGATCTTGGACCGGAAAATCACAGAGCTCCACCTTAGTGACACAACCATCTATTGCCGGGTGACTGAGAGAGAATTTCAAGCACAATACAAGCGACTAAATCATGTTTGGATGGATGTAGGAAGAACAGCTGGCTAGCAGATTAAAATTGGAAACACCACAGTGCCCAGTCTTTTACAGCCTTATTAAGACTCACAAAATACCTGCTACTGATGACGCGCGCTTTTTGACAGCAGAACGGCTGGAAATTAGACCAATCATAAGTTGTGTGGGAGGACCAACCGACCGAATTTCCAGGTTCTTGAATAAGATTGTCAATCAGCTACTGGACAAAGTCCCGTCTCATCTAGCCAACACGAATCATTTCCTGGAACGCCTACGTAACACCAATTTGCAAAAGCAATGTGTAGCTGAATCTTTTGACGTAGTGTCATTGTACACTAACGTTCAAAACGACGACGCTCTACAGGCAGATTCGGAAATGTTGAGTAACTTTGGTGAGAAGATCCAGACTTTCGGCCTGAGTAAACGATCGGTTATGCTCCTGATCAAAGAGTGCCTCTCTTGTAACATCTTTAAATGGTCAGGGACATACTATACTCAGCTGAGAGGCCTCGCAATGGGACAAAGACTTGCTCCAGTACTTGCGATCTGTTTTATGAGTAGAATAGAGGAACCAGTACTGTCGCGTTTACCTCTAATGTACTGTCGTTACATAGACGACTGCTGCGTTATAACATCAACACAATCCGAAATGGATGAGTGTTTCCGATTACTCAACCAACAGTCACAGTACATAAAGTTTACACGGCAGCAACCGAAAAATGGCTGGCTTCCTTATCTCAACGTACAAATCCAACTGTTTAACGGCGCTGCGAATGTAAAATGGTATCGCAAAGAAAGTTCCAAGAAGATCTTGGTTAATGCTTGCTCCGCACATCCGATTACTGTTAAAAGAGCTGTTATTCGTGACATGCTCAAAACAGCAACGAATGTATGCACAGGAGAAGAAGAACGGAAGAAGTCACGGAGATGGGCGCTGGATATTGCTCGAATCAATGGCTACACGTTCCGAAACGGACGTGGTGGTCCATCTGTTGCCATCAACAGCAACCAGCACCGACAGAAAATACCTCTCTGTCTTCCTTTTGTCTCTGACGCGACTAGTGCTATAGTGCGACGATGCATTAAACACGCGAACCTCGAAAACGATGTCGTTTTGATTGACATTCCAAGTGATAACATCAGGAAGCGGTTAGTACGTAACAGACTGTACGACAACTACTGCAGAATCCAAGACTGCGTAGTATGTCCATCCGGTAAAGTTGGTGACTGCGGTAAGACAGCTGTAATCTATCATATCGAATGCATCGAGTGCAGCGCCACTTATATCGGAGAGACTGGGAGACCGTTGGGAGTTAGGTTAAAAGAACATCTTGCCAGCAAAAGGCGAGGAAGCCTTACCACTCCTCTCGGTAAACATAAAGTTGAAGTCCACGGTGGTAAGGACTTCGAGATCAGATGTGTAATACTGGCATACGAATACGATACTGTCATTAGAAAGGCTCTCGAGGCGTTCTGGATTTTCGCAAGAAATAGTAGCATGAACAGCCGAAATGAGTGTATGTCAATAACAAATGACTTTATGCCATTCGTGACGTTATGTGAGTTGAAAGACCACTGATTAGTTCGAATATGGTATACAGTGTATTCCATTATTGGTATCAGTGGCACTGAAGGACGGCCGCTTTCAACATCTGCGCGCCGGCGGTGGAGGAGGTTGTTTCGTCTTTCACGTTATGGAATTTTTGTTTGTAGCATTCTGGGGCAACGTCGAGGCTAGCCGGGGATGGAGGAGGTTTCTGGTGGGATAGACATAAAATCATAAATCGCTTACCACTTTAGGCCTTTGAAGAAGACGAATAGCTCGAAACGTTAGGCCGCCACTTACTAATAAATACTAACCTCGATTGGCTTATTACTCACAACATACTAAGTACAAATAGTATTGCATTAGAGATATAATCCTCTTAGAGCTGCTGCTTCTAAAATGTGGCAAAAAATCGGACAGAATTTACGCAGCAACGTAGAACAAGATAATGTTATTATAATTGCGAGAGTTTCGATCTACTCAATGTTTGAGGAATAATCTAGCAAATTCCAAGTACACAAAGAACAGACTTTCGTTTGAAACGCTGTGCATTCCCAACTGGATTAAGCATATACTATACACATCAGACATTTATACGTACACGTGCCGTATAGTAAGTAACTTTCGTTAGCAAGTTGAAGGTTTTGGGAACAGAGATTTTTGAGCATTTGAAAATTTTTAGATTTGTCTTCTCAACTTTTCTGTATCACTTCTTGAAACTGTTTGAACACTATCTTGTAGTTGCTTTAACAAATGGTATGTTTTCTTAGACTTTTATACCTGTTCTGCCACTTGAGCATAAGTATCGTTTGGTTTAACGGGATTGGCGGCTGGAAGGCGACCGCCACACCCGCGACGCAGCGTGATCTCTGACCATTTTCTAGTCTTCTTTACGCCTCAAAGCCCCTCCTCCCAACCCCAATCCCGTTAAATCAAAGGGTAACATGCATTATTTATAAATCGACCTATATAAGACTCCTCAGTTTGCTTAGTTTAGTTTGGTGAAATGCAGCCCTAAACGCCCAAAATTTCAGCCGTAATTACGCAAATGAAAAGTTATCGCCGATTCGTTATAAGATGCATCTAATAAATAAATATTTACTGTATACTCAAGAAATAAATAAAATAATAAATAGATAGATACAACTAATAGGCAGTAAAAACTTTAGATTATTTGGATTTGATAAATAATAAATAACAAAGGAGGTAAACAGATATAACTAATAATAAATAAATACCTCAGATTATATGGATCTGATAAATAATAAATGAAAATAGATATGACTAATAACAAATAAATACCTCAGATAATATGGATCTGATAAATATCAGCGCTGTTATTGATTTCGTAACAGGTATGTTGTATCGCCTTCTCCTGTGTACGCATAGTCATTCCACTTCAAAATTTGCAGAGATCAGTAATAGGTGATTTCGCAAAAGTCTGCTATTTTCTAATCAACATCACTTATCTCTATATGCAGACTTTCAACTCCCTCCTACAGTTAGAATAACTTTAGAGCCGTAGTCAGCATTCTCATTACTTTACCTAATTCCATGTGTCGAAGTTGAGTTTGAACCGCAAAAAGATGTTTTCCGCCATAAGTATAGACAGAGACATGTATATAGAAACAGCTGGCGCTTTATCTACGAATGGAAGCTAGCAAGATCGATTTTGACTTGACAGCAAAGCAGTGGAAATTGCTGTAAGAATTTGTGTGTTGAAAATTCAGTCTGGGCATAAACCTTTACTGTGTTGCATACTCAGTTAGCAATCAGATTAGAAGCATAAGGGATGAATAAGAAACGCGTGAAGTAGCACTCAACAATCTTAAACCAAGAAATTCAATGAAAACTTTTTAGAAGGAGCGGTTTAAGCAGTTGAGATAATAGTCCAGAATGCAGGTAGTGCTCAATCAGAAAAAATTCGAATCCAAATTCTAATCTTGTTTCTATGCCGCAAAGAAAATTTTGATTAGTTAGGAAGCCCGTGCGCAGACTTTGCAATTAATATCGTTAATATCTCAATGTGGATTCAGAGTTTGGCTAATCGTCATAGTAGCTATTTCTCATTTGCACACTCGCAAACTTCAACAATAAATCGATAAGATAGAGAAAGATCTGCATCATAAACCGGTTAAATAAATATCCCGATCAACTACATGTGAAAAAATGGTTTTGTACATAAATAATGACGGTATGACAGGTGTAACACGCGACGCATGAATACATCCTTCGTAAAGGGAAGGTCGAAGGCCACTAGCACAAGTTGCTGTGAAACATCACGTGAAACTCTCCTTTCTGGATTCTTTTGGGGAAGCATTATGCGGTCATTCGTATACTGTCAGGATGCGAAAGAAAGCGTCTCACAGATCTATAAGCACAGAAAAGGCTTCAAATTTTAAACCTTGATAAAATCTCCATTAGAAGCATATGTTTCGCAAGATGCAACGCTAAAGAGGATGTAGAAAAATGGCAAGAGAGTTGTTAAGCTAGACCAGTTGTTGCAACATTATTAGGCTAGAATTAATTATGTTGCTGAAAGAGTTCAATGATAGCACGTTGATGCGAGAAAAATACGGTGACGATACTTGTGCTTTAGTGTGGCTGTTAGATTTAGCCTTATCGACGTGTTCTGTGACATTGTACGTCAGTGCCTAGATATGAATCATGAGCTCCTTATCTAGTACTCTCTATACTTTCCTCTTGATACCCTGCCTTTCTTTCAAAATACTGTCTGCGTACATAAAAATACTTGATTCTTGCTTGAAAGTTGAACTCTACACTAACATTAGATACACATCTTTAGCTCAGCCCACTCAAAACTCAACACAGCATTCTCTATAAAACGTAATATTAGGTTGTTTCTTTTCTTGGCAGACTTAGGATATTATTCGATAAAGCGAAGAAAGCCCTACAAACTGATCAACAAAGGTCCGCAAAAATCGTAACGTAAAATATGGAGTCAAAAATCAAAAATTATCAAACACCACAAAAATCGGATTCCTTCCTGAAAATCTCTACTGACCTCCAACTTGGTTATTACACAGCAAACACATAGTATTAGGTTGTTATCAGATTAGTAAAAAAAAGTTCTCGGGCATTTTCAAGCTAAATTGGCTATTTCTCATGTTGTAATGCTATACGAACGCAAAAATTTGTAGTTGTACTTTCACGTGGACGTAGTCTATATCTGCGCAGGTGGGAGGTGGTCAGGGCTAATAGGGGCGCAGTTTGCCACTTCTCAATTAACTTATTTTTCCTGCGAATTCCATACAGACTTTGCACGTGCGGTTGTCTCATGAGTTTTTTTCAGTTGTTTTTACCGTATTAAGTCACATACTTCTCAATTCCGATTGAAATACAGGATACCGTTCGATAGAGCAAAGCAAGCTCTATAGATGGCATGCAAATGCTCTCACCAGCATCAGCATATTACGAATTAGAAGCCAAAATTAAGAACTCTCGGACGCCCAAAAAATTGATAATTTTTCGTATCTTTTTTTCAAAGAAGACTTACCAGTTTCCAAACTTGCTCACGCATACAGATTCCACATAAGACAATCACATGTGCCGTTGCTGTGTTTATTTCTGCCGAAAAATTGAATTCAACATAAAATACCTTATTGTTAGGAAAAAGAGCCAAGTTCGGTATTTCGCAGAAACTGGCCCCTCCAGAAAGCTAAAAACTTACCTAAGTATTTCCGGGGGCCTGTAGTATACATTTACCTATGTGAGAACAAAGCAGCATTGCTTTTTTGAAAGGTTGAAAATTTTGGATTTCTCGGTTCCTAGCACAGAAGCAAACACAGCAACGGCAGATGTGAATGTCTTAGTGGAGTGTATATGCGTGAGCAAGTTTGAGATCTAGTAAGTCTTCTTGAAAATAGATAAGAAAATTTTCAATTTCTTGGGCATCCGAAAGTTCTTAAATTTCGGCTTCTAATTCGTGATGTGCTGAAGCTGGCGCGAACACTTACACGCTTTTATAGAGCTTGCTTTGCTCTATCCAGCCGTACCCTGCATTACAATAGGAAGAGAAGTATGTGACTTAGTGCGATAAAAAGTCAGAATTGAAAAAACTTGTGAGACAACCTACTGCATGAGTGCATGCCTACTATGTATTGGAGTGTTTGTGGATGCCGCAGCGTTTACGGAAGGTGGAGATTTGAGCTTTGCCAAGATCATATGTTTTCGCATTTTCGCCTCTACTTTCACAAAATACATAGGTTATGCTCGTGATTAGTTTGGTCTTGTAGTGTTTACCTTCCTCTATTCAACGATACCCTATTTGATGCTCGCATCGAAGCAAAATCCCTGTAAGCAATGTCCGAGAACTTTCTTAACAACCTAATTCCACAAGCTTTGTCACACTTGACTGAAAAAAAGCCTCATAACTTTGCCAAAGGATTTTTTCTTTATCTCCAAACTGTGTGTAGTATTGCAGATTTTTGATATAAAGGATGTCCCAAAAAATGTGCACACTGTTTGATCGTCAATAACCCTCTTGCTACATGTCTTTTGCCAAGCTTGAGATTCTGTAGAGCGAGGTTCAATTTGGATTTACAGCGTGGAGCGAATCTCCGATCTTTCTTGCTTACTGTAAGATTACAGTAGAAATTTTTAGAGCTTTTAGGTTATTCAAAGCGATATTTTGCCTCAGAATAAAATCAAACAAGCCAGAAACTCTTGTTCTGGGCTATCAAAGTCGCTGATTTCAAATGTGAAGCTTTCACTCTGTAATGCTTCTTTCATAAGTTATTTTGGATGAAGAGTAATACTGTTTTTCCAATTTTCGTAAGAAATGTGATTACACCACTAAAAAAACTCGTAAGAACTGCGTAATGAAATAAGCACAAAACGTTGTTACCAAAAATTCCTAATTTTTTGAAACTTTTTCCATCAAAAGACCTATTACACACTGGCGTTATATGCTGAAAGTTCATACCGTAATCCCACAGTAATGGATAGCGATTTGTAATTCGCTTTATACTGTGAATCTAAGTTTAACCACACTCTAAATGTTACATTAACCTTGGCAAAAGACATCAAAGCAAAAGAGCATAATCAACCATCGCGCACATTTTTTGAGGACACTATGTTGTTTTTACACCCTGGCCCGTAGTAAAGCTAATTCAGTTCAGGTCAACTGAACTGAGGCCCTCATCCGAGATGCGGTAAGGTAGACTGCCTATCACCAGCTTCAAATGCTGTAAAAATGCAAAATGAAATTTCAGCTGACCGTCCATCTACCTGACGAGGTAGTCTACCTTACTTCAGTCAGTCCACATTCAGTTAGACTACCAATTAATGTAAATAGTGTACCAATGATGTACGCAGAGAAACTTCTCGTAAGTTACAGAAAAACTTAACGGAAAACTGCACAAAATCTTCCTCACAAGCCAACGCGCGGATTCCGCTTTGCATTTTATTCTTTCTTTCGTTTCATCCCTTTTTCTGCATGTGCTTATCCAAGATAGCGTTAGGACATGTGCTTTACGATAAATTTCTCTTCCTTCCATCGAAAATTTCACCCGAAAAAATCGCTTTTAAATGTTTTCTGCTCACAGTTATGTGATTTGTATTGTGATTGTGTTAAATGTAAACTTCGTTAATCAATTTCCTTTGTTGGCATATTCAAGAAGCTGTAAATAGGGACACTGCCACTGATTATGCTCATATTACGACTATAGTGACAGCCAGGTCCTTTGATGACAGAGCTTAGCTGTTTGTAATAAGGTAGTAAGGCTTTTTCTTTTCCAAGGGACGGATTTCTTCGAAAACTTGCTGCTTTATTATCATTGTGCACCTCGTCGTGTTTCAGTTTTTGCAATGTCCAGCTCATGTGCTTGCCTCTATGTTCATCTAAAACGTTGTGCTTTTTCTTTCAGAAGACTAATGGCAAATCGTGGCGGATGATTTTGTGTTTTCATACGATAGGAGCCATACTTGTGCACAGGTAATTTTATCCAGGCAATTATAGTTGGAAAATGAGTGTAGAAACTTGCTTTCTACTGTAAGGCTTCTTTTGCCGGTTTTAGAACTGTCTGGACGTTGTAGGATTGCCCATTCAACTTAATAAAAAGCGCCAGACCCCAAAAATGCATCCAATTGTAAGCTTGGGTACAACACGCTGCTTGGTGCCTAGGAACTGTAGCGCTAGTGGTGGGCGAAATAGTGAGAATGTTACGATAGTTTCGTTGCGTCACTACTCTGTTTTTAGAATCGCGTAGTATTCATGATGATCGTGCGGACAGAGTGCGTAGCTGTCAAAAAGGTACGTTCACACGTTACCGTCTCTCTTTTTTCCTATTCTTTTTCCAACTTCGAATATCTTTTTTAAATATGACGTTCAATTCGATGTTGCTCGCAGTCTGTTCTATCAGACTACATTATTTTTGAGAAACCCCTTTTGGTGAATAGACTGGCTTTCCTCACACATAGTTTCTTCGCTTCTTTTCCTACTCATGGACGAGGAAAGCAAAAACCCAGAGCTTTGCTGAAGAGGCCTTGCATTTTGATTTTGTGCTTACATATCCGATTTGAATACCAATTAACAAAGCCAAGATTGCAAATACATCTGTAAACGACTTCACTATCAAGCTCTGTTTTACTGTTTTTCTAATCAAATTCCAAATGTACGAAAACAAACTGTTTTACGCTTTTCAAGCAATTACAACTTGTTGCTGCCAAATGAAAAGACGCCTTTCTCATTCCGAAGGTGAGAATACAAGAAACATCATTGGCCCTTTACTTCCAAAGTTCCATCAGTAGTCAGTATCTTGGTAGCTGCTATATGTACTCTCGCTTTTTAGTATGTAAAAAACATAGTAGAATTGTGAACTGCAAGGCGCCCAAGATTTCTCTGATAAAGAAATAGCACTACTTCTTGTTAGCGACAAATGTTGTTTTGGCAAATTCGCACCTTTTCGACACAACCCATCTGTTGAAGGAGCGTTCTTTCTGGTGGCTTTTGTAGTTAGACTTATTACAAGTTATTTCACATGACTTCATAGCTATAACTTGATCTTATTTAGGACGTTGATGAGAATCGGAGAGAAACGCCTAAGCATGGGGATCTCGAGTCTGGCCAATTAGAGGCATAATGGGTGATGCTTGGAACGTATTGTCGAATAACAATGAGGACAGGTTAGCATCCCAATGGTTTTTCATCCTTTTTAAATTCTTCTACTTGACATCACCTTTTTTCTTTCCTTAAGGAGCAAAGTGCTGGGCCGGTAGTAATCTACCCTACCTGGTGGCATCAAAGATGCCGGCAAGTTGGCACACATCGCGGAAAGATGCCAACTCCGCCGGCAGCAGTGATTGTAGGTTTTAATAATCTTATGTAACCTTAGCACGCACTCATTTCGCACATTAAGTTTTGATGACGCAGACAGCCGCAAAATTGCTACCTCGCGCGCGGTCGAACCTATGCGTGTTAACTTGAAGTGCCACCACGTTAACCATTCGACCATTTGGTCAGCCATTGCCCTTTGCACCAGCAATAGGAGGAACGCGCTGGTAAATGGCTGCCTGTAAGAGGGATCGATACATTGCGTGAGAGACTTTGACCTGAAAGAACAGCTGATTGATATGAGCGAGAGAGCGGCGAAATCTGTGCAAACGAGATTTTAAGGGGTTTCCAAAAAAGATGATGTTTCTTTATGATTCTAAGGCATTACTGGATTTTTTCACTGTAAGAAAATCGTCGTTCTAAAAAAGAAAAACTCGTATAATGAGAAAAATGATAGTTTTTTGATGAAAAGTAGAATTTTTGATGTTTTCGCCTGACGTAAATTGTGTGATATCGCCGCAATTCGCAAACTCGCAGACGCCGTCAACAAAGGTGCCACCACCTCGACGTGGTAGGGGCACGTCGAGGTGCCGGCAGCTCGCTCTCTTAAAAGAGCACGCTATTTCCCGTGCTTTCTGACCTGCCGGCAGCTGCCATCTCGCGGATTCCGGCAACCTGCCGGCAGGTTGCCGGCAACTGACATCGCGAAGTTGCCGGCAGCTTCTCCTGGAATTCCAGATATTTTACTAAAGGAGGAGTTCTGGAGCCGCAGATTTTTATGAAGTTTTCTACAGAGTCAAGGCGGCAACTTTATCGAGAAAATTTTTTGGAAAAAAGCCTGGGACGGCCTAAATTTCGGTTCTTAGTTTCTGGCCACCTCGCGGAAAGGTGCCAGCAACCTGCCGACGAGACCTGCCGCCAGGTCGGGGGGATTACTACCGGCCCTGATGTTCTCTAGGGTTCCTTCATAATACGCCGCAGGACGCAGCAGCCTGCCGCAGCACCTCGGTCCTGCTGCATGTTATGAAGGAACCCTTGAAAATGGCTCAAGGATAAGATGAGGGAGGGTGCGTTTTTGCGTTAGGCAACCCAACTCTGCATTCAAAACTTTCTTTTTGAGCAATTTTCTTATTGCGATTGGATATCTTTTGGTTAAAAAGATCGCAAAAACATCCAAATTCATTTCACAGTGCTGCCAAGCTTCTTTTTCACATTCATTTTCATCCTCGAAATTTTGCGTGTCGTGATGGTACACCTCGCAAGAGTTATCTGAAACTTGAAGGGATATGAATGTGGCTTGTTGTTCAGTTTTTCTTCTTAGTTACCGTTGACTTTATCTTACACCTTTCTGTTAGCGTACCATTTCCTGGGTAATGCCATAATTGCTCGTGGATTTCCACCTAATCCCTATCAACTCCGGGTCGGCTGCCGCATTCTTCCATCAGATAGTCGAAGGGATATCTCTGGAGCGAATTGGGAGGGTCCGGGCTCTGCCCAGAGGGGGTTTGCCACTCGTGTTCCGGGTCCCTCCCATTTCACCCATCTTGGTGCTCCGAGCTCCTCCAAATCTGGCGCACCCTCTAGCAGAGATTTGCGAGCCACCGTGATGTCACAAGAAGGCGAATGGAACGAATGGAACGGTGCGCCAGAATTGGAGGAGCTCGGAGCACCAAGATGGGTGAAATGGGAAGGCTCCGGAGCACGAGTGGCAAACCCCCGCTGGGCAGAGCCCGGGATCCTCCCTTTTTGCTCCCGAGGTATCCCTTCGACTGTCTGAGCAGTTACTCATAGCATGTGGCGCCCTCGATTTGCTTGCAATCACTATCGTGACTTCTTTAGCACGGTGGCGATTGTTAGCGCAAGTACCGTGATCCCGATCTAAGTTCACATTCAGTCGGGATCGGGTAATGATGGCAACTATGGAACACCATGTTGTAGTTCACTATCCAATAGCCTTTTTTAACTGGATAAATCTCTTTCGCAACAAGTTCTGGTTGAATCTTTGCTGTTTCAAAGAAGTTTCAGGAAAATGGAAGGTTAGTAATGTTGCAAAAAGTGGTTGGTTTTTTGAATTCTTGAGTTGATCTTCTTGCCATAGTTTCTTGCAGGAAAATGTGGTTCGACTGAGTAAATTCCTCGCGGGATCTCAATAGAAAGCCATGAAATTCAAAGCCTCCGCCATCACGAGAGTCGCGGTGTCTTCACGCCTTTGCAGCGTTTGGTAACTGTAAAAGTGCTCATGCGTTGTGACTCACGATTACAAAATTAGACAAATATGTTTTTTTTGATTCGCATCCTCTTTGTCTCTTTGTTTATCTGTACCTTTTCATCTGCCCACTAATTCGTTCACTGTTTTATTTGTGTGTAGGCTGACCAGGGAAGGACTTTGTTAGTAACTTGCACCACTACTACTTCAGCAAGTGGCTCTAGTTTTTCATTTTAGGCTCCGCTTCGAATTCTTCAATCAGCTACAGTTCCAAAACTAGCAAAATAGTAGTGTTTTTGGTAGGATGGTGAATAAATATGCAATCATGCATTCTAAATTTCGCGTTTGAGTAGCGGGACGTCAAAAATCACTTGCAGCTTTTTTTCATCGTCTTCTATTGTGCTTTATACTTGGTCTTGATATGTTACTTTACTTCGTCAAATGAAGATAATTTTGTTGGTCGTCTCATTAAACAAATGTATCTTTTAGCGTAGCAGGCGATATCATTAGGCAGCCTGGTTTTTGAAGGTAGGCGGAAAACGGAATACACGTGAATCACAAGTACAGTAACCTTTTCCGTTTCGTTCTTGCACCTGCCATCTACGGCATCGAAACATAGAGTGGTCTTTGTCCGCCTTCACCTATCTTTTGGCGTTACCGGATGTGGGGCACGAGTATCTTCCTTTCTCTACCACACCCACCATCGTGATTCTGATTGATGCATTCTAATTCAATTCAGGATTTGAGTAGGCGATAACAACAGAGATAGAGGCCTTGCCATATCATGGGAATCGAAACCTGCGCTTATTTCAAGCAGCGGCCAACGAGTCATCGGTCTCTTTCCCTGAACTGACTTTCTGTCACCGCATGACTTTAAAGTATTTTAAGATTTTGTGAAGTACTATGGTGATATAGAGTGTTAGAGAATTTAGTGTAAATCAGCTTGAAGCTAGCTCTACGAAATCGGTCATCAAAAGACTTCGTAGGTTTATTATTAATAAATAGCATGTACATATTTGAGACACTCCATGTTTAGCTTTCATCATCCAATCATATTGGCATTTACTCATTGGAAGTACATATATGCTCGAAATAAAATTTTTCCCACTTATTGTCATTTTGTGTATTGATCAGTTGCAATAGAGTTCAGCTCTGAAGCGTTTCTTCTGATCAGACAGTTCTAAACTTTCGTTTTGTACTTTTCTTCCGATGCACTTTTTTCGCAAAATTTTTCAGAAATGCAAAAGTCCGCACAAACATTTTGTTTGCGAATCGGTAAGTACTTATAGACAGATCAAAACTGAGCAGAGTTCTGATTGTTAGAACAATTTCTTAACGAGTATGACATCTAATCCGTTTAAGCTGAATGTCTGGTATGTGAGCTTGATTACTAACACAGCGGGAATAGGGAAGCGACATGTAGAATTGAATTTGGAATATGAACAGGTTTGGGATGTGGTTGTCATCATTGAAGTTTCACTTCATGATGTCCTGATGCGTTGTTTCTTTTCATTTATCAACAGCGTTTCGTTTCTTGTCTTCGTTTTTCATTCTTTTAATCAGGATTTCTTCAGCGCTCACCATATATGCATTGTTGACAGTTCTTATCAAGTTTAATCATGCGGTATGTTTTGCTGTCCTTTCAAAGTTTCACACTTTTCTCAGTGGGATAGTCAACTAGCCTCCGCCCGTAAGCTCGCTGGCCTTCAAAGGGGGATCCAACTTCTGGAAAATAGTAGGATATGCCAGCAGACTGTGATGTAGCGTCTTCTGCTTTTAATTCGTTCAGCTCGTGATCTTTTAGGAATAACCCCTAGGCCTTGGGTTGCAAGTAGAACAAGAAAACGTTGACTTTGTTGAGATTAGCTGACTATTGTTTGAATTTACTGTCACTTTGCCTTTGACTACTTAGTATTGGCGCATCTAGAGTGTAATACAATAAACAATAAACCATAAACAATAAAATAAACGACTCATATTTCATCTCGAATGGTTAGTCATTCGGTTGATTTTAAAAGGTGAAGAACAACAAAGCAAGTAAAGCGCAAACCTTTTGATCCCACAAATCCACAAACCATGATTTTGGTAAAAGATAATGTTTCAATTTTATCTAAACTTCGTCCTGACCTAATATTTGCAGCTACTCTAGGCTATGTGCAATATTTGAAAACTAAAAGAGCAAGCTCTACTAATGATCTCAAAAGCAGATATCCCTTGAAGTCGTTCCCGTGAGCTGAAAGTTGTCGAAAAGTGTTATATTTAAGTTGACAGTACCTTGAGTTGTAGATGTCGCTCAAGTGACCAGGTTGAAAGAAAATCATGCAAAAATGCACAAAGATTTCGAAACTTTTACTTGCGCTTTGATGACTGTTGCAAAGCGATTGTGTTAGTTTTTGTGAGATTTCGAAGTACAAAAGCCATTTTAAAAGTAGCATTTCTTCCTAATAACTAATCAGGCTTAGGTGACAATTGCTCTACAACTAAAAGTCCGTTCACCCACCACTACTGAGAAATTTCTGTTTACAGTCGTTAAGTCGTGGTGGAAGAAATTTACATTAAGAAGTCTTCTTATATTTTCGCAAATTCCTCATAAAGTCAATGGATTCAGATAAATTGATAAACTAAACTTCAAAATAATTAACCCTTAGAACTTATCACCCACTGCAAAGTCGCTTTGGACTACTTCTGATGCTTTTAGAGTTATGCAAAAAAAGGAAAGGGAGCGAAGGTATGTAAAGAAAAGCAACTTTTTTGCGAACAGGAAATGTTTTATACAACAACATTACTGATTAATTATCTCAAATTTTATGGAAAGTTGTAACTATGAACTTCAAGAAGCGTTCAATCAGGCGTTGTTAATGATGAGAAATTTTTTCATACATTCATGCTTATCTACCCAGTTTCATTTTTATAGGACCTCATCATTTGTGGTCTTATAAAATGCCAAGCCATTTGACTTGCTTTAAGGATTCAGTTATATAAGAAAAACAAACTTTACTTGAGTTCAAAGACTTTTTATATAGTCCAAAGTTGCACACAAGAAAATTTAATGCAATCACGAAATATTCTCTACGTTGCATCGTGAACGCTCAAGAGTGAAATGCGGAGTAATTGTCTATCATTAGCATGAACAAAGTTTGAGAAAGAACAAAAGACACTACCTTCAGAACACTGAAATCCATGTTCGCAAAAGACGCGTCATTTGGAGGAATCTTCCACATCCTAAATAAGTAGTTACTTGATCGATCTGAACGGCAAATAAATTGATAATCACACTTTGCATTTTTCAAAATGCGGCAATCTAAATGACCCAACTGTACAACTTGTCAAAGGTCGTAGACATTTCCAAATACAAAGTGTCTATTCCTAGGTAGTACTAAGGTACTACTTGTAATACTGAATTTGCGGAAGCAGTGTTGCAGGACTGCATCATGAGCACAGACCTTCTAACTGCAAGACAGTGAATGCTGCATGGGGTTCGATCCTGAGCTGATGACTTGCGAAGAATCTTATGCAATTCAGTTTTTAGCAGTATTAAAGTAAGCTTATACTAGCTACGGCGAAGGTTGAAGAAAGCGAGATGCGCATATAAGAAAAGTAAAAAGAAATGCCCCATTTTTTGAAGACGTTTCAAGCTCCTTAGGCTACCGACAGAAGACATAAACCAGTACCCAAGCATGTAGACAGCCTAAAAAACGGAGAATTTCCATAAGAGAACTAAAGAGTTATGCACCAGATGCTGAACCGCACAGCAAGGTCGGATTGTCTATAATGTTTCTAGACTATCTAATATATAAAGAATCGTTAACTCAATTCAAAAACCTGCAAACAGCGGAAAATCGCGCGGCGGTCCCGAAGCGAGCACTCTTCCAAATAGCACCTTTAGACTACTGGTTCACTAGTTTTAGAAAAGAAAAAGAGATGGAAAGGAATCACACAAGTGAGTTTGATTTCAAGTAAATATTCAAACACAAATGATCTTGAAGTTTTTTTTCTTGAATCTTGATGCAGCGCTGCTAACATCGGGTTGTTAGACAATTTCGAAACTGAAAGAAGGATTCTAGCATAGTTGGGCAATAACAACCTTAATCAATTTCCATTAACTATTGAAGAGCAACTGGAATACGGACAGCTGAACAAACAGTCAATGATCCACAACAATTGCTCAAAGTCTTTGCATGCTAGAGCAAACTGCAAAAACAGGTGATGCTTTCAAGGCGTACTCAGAATATGCTTTAATATATTTTCCAGCAAAGTAAGTTGAACGTTAAGTGCTCATCACTGTGTCGAAAGTTGCGTACTTGCTTCCACTTGAGCCAGAAACTATCGCTGTAAAAAGTCTCTCAGTCCTACGCGTGTCTTTCTGAGTAAGCGAGTAATCAGCTTTAGCAACTGTAACTTTGTAAAAGTCATGTCTACTGAGCAAGAAAATTTTCATTGCCATACATGTAATTACCTAAATCTCTATGTAATCAATATACAGGGTGTCCCAAAAAGATGTGCACACTGTTTGATCGTTAATAACAACTGGTTTTGTGGTTTTTAGTATGAAAAAGAATTTGATAAATACTAATTAGGAATACAAGAAATTCAATTCCTTTTTGTTCATTTTCTACATTATCCGGTTTCGGGGCTCAGAACTATACCGGTAGTGCGGCTTCCTTGGCGCCCCTCGTCAGTAGTTCCCAAGGAAGCTTCAAAATTATCAAATGAAAATCTAAGATGAGGCCTGAGGCGGAAAACGGCGTATAAAGAAATTGAATAAAGAAGGTGCAAGTTGTTAACATGTACATATACGACAAAATGAATGGCAAGTGTCATCCGAGGAAATAGCGACCTCTTTTTCAAACTGGAGTACTCCCGCCGTGACCTCAGAGCGCGCTAGCGTGAGCCCAAGTGTCATGTAGGTCATGTAAAAGAGGCAAATGTATGTTACTAGGAACTCCGTACTTACGCATTATAAATGTTCTAACGAATAGTATATGATAAAGTTTACTAATAAAAATATGATATCCCCATCCATTAGTTCTCAAAGTCTTAGCTAGTTCTATTACTCTTTCCTTAAAATATGCATAATTAGAGCAATTTCTGTAAATTCTAAGAATTTCTGAAGTGCAAGTATTGTACAATATATATCTGGGAATATTAGACTCCCAATGTGGATATCTAAATACTTTGAAATTATAGTCATCTGTCTTATTATACATATTACTCAATTTTATTATTGGAAATTTTGAGAGTAAGGTCTAGAAAATTTTTTTTGTCAAGCTAAGGTTAGTTTTCTCTATTTGTAAAGAAGGATGATAGATTTCTCTTAAAGTTCTTTCGAAATGCGATGCATCTTTAGATACATGTAATATGTCATCTATATATCTATAAGTGTGATTGTACAAATTAGTGTTATGACTCAGAGTTCTTGTCTGTCTTCTTAAGAACTCAAATT